TATTACTTACAATTTTTTTAAAAAATCATTCTTAACGTACCAAATTGAGCATAAAACCCAAAATAAATGTGCTTTTGGAGTACAAATTAACAACCATGTAAATGTGAGTGCAACGTTATCTTGCAAAAAGTTGGCAATAGTTAGTGACCACTATGCAACTCCATTCTGCAAAATCCTCAGAGCACAGACAATCTTTGAAAGCTAGTGCTCCACCTACTGACCCTACAAGAATCTCTCTTTCTCCATGCGCATAAGGTACAAATCTAAATTATTATTTTTTTATTACTTCAATTAGGTTTATAGTGGTCAAGATGATCAACTTTAAACATAAAGTAAAATACCATTTTAGGCAAAAGAGAATTGAAGGTAGCCTTTCGGCACAATTAAGGCCCAAAAGCTAATGTAATGATTTCACAAGATATATACCAATTAATTAAAATTAACTGCCAAACTTTGAACTTTTGCATGTAACTTTTTAAGTAACTATATAATATTATAAATTATAACATAATTTTTTTTAAGAAGTGAAAAAAATTCAATATGTTTAATCATTTAGATTTTTTTCCTTCGTTGGAAATTTAATCATTCATATGCTATATAGAAATATTGAAGAGCTAGTACTTCACAATTGTTAGGCAAACCCCTTAATTAATTATTTTTTTGTTTTTTATTTTTTACTTAACTTACACATATTTTGAAATTAATCATTTTTTAGATTAATAAAAAATAAGCTATTCATATTAAAATTAAAAAATTTATGAAAAATTATCTTTTTATTAGCTTTATTAAATAATCAAATCTTGATCAATAAAGTGAAGGACAAATTTTTTTTATCAACTAAACCACCTTTCCTTGGGTATTAATTAATCAGTTTGTAATGGAAAGATGCCTCTCCATAACAATTGAACATGTCTCTTGTAATAAAACTTTATATTCCTTTTTATAGATGTCAAGTAATATTATAGGTTAACTTTTGAGTATTTTGTCATGTTCACCTCATTGATATACTTAAACATGAGTCATTTACATCTCAATTATAAAATTTATAAAAAAATTATCTTTTATTGGGCATTATCAAAAAAATTAAACACTGATATAATAAGTTGTCATCTTGGGTAATAGAACTGTGTATTGTTTCTTATGTTCTCCTTCTCAGAGGTCAGCTTGCAGCCTCTCCAGACAGTGCATACATTGTTTTCCCAACAATTAGAATATACATAAATCCAGCCGAAAAGACTAGACGCCACTAAACAAGACAAAAAGTCATAGGATTATAAGGACCTTTATTTATTTTTTTTTTTTGAAAAGCTAGGATTATAAGGACTTGAGGATCCTCAATGCTAAATGTCTTCATAAATACATCTCCGTAGATTTTCTGCAATAACCATTTTCCAAATCATCATTTTCTCTTGTCATCACTTTACTTTCCCTTCTTCTTGTTCTGCGCATGTTTGAATTCGACAAGAAGAAGCCGTTTCAGAGGCCGTCACTGAAGGCTATACCTTCCATAACAAATAACTCAAATGGCAAGCATAACACAAGTCTCCTCGTCTCTTCCTCGTCTTGAGATTCTATACAGCAAAGAGAGATGCGGAAACTACATGCCTCCTTGAGCAGCCAGAAAGAAATTAACAGTGCTCACTTCTCAGAAATCTGTCAAATTACATTGTTTTTCCAGATCTCCTTATGAAATTCTGTATTTGTTTGTATACTCATTTCTGTTTCTTGCATCTTAAGCCTTCTTTTTTAGGTAAGATGTTGCATCTAAAGATGGAATTTATTGGAAACTATTCTTCAGGTGGGTATTGATTCTTGAATAATGATATCTTCAACATTGTATGTATGTATCCATGGTATCGGGTTGAGATACGATTTGGAAAATATTATATATAATTATCAGTTTCAATTTTTTCTAATATTTGTTCACATCCTTTATGTATAGGAAATAATATGTACGGTCAGTCAGAACTGTTTAGCTGCAGCCGGAATTTTCTTCTTCTGAAATTAATAGAATTTTTTTCAATTTGTCAAGGTTACGGTTTTGTTTGTAATTATTAGTCCGTTTCTGAATATCAAAACAAGGAAACTATTGATCATAAAGCACAAAGATTGAGGAACGTTGAGGAGCAACGCTCCTGTGCATATGTTTAGTCGTATATATATTTAGGATCTGAATTTTTACTTGTATATATATATATATATATATTGATGCCTTAAACAGAAACAATACAGCTGAATATAATTCAGTATTCTTGAAATCTCTCTCCTTTCTGTGGCTTTCTTCTATTTGTAACAAGATTTGATAAATTGTACATAGAACAGGATCTTGCTAGTCCAAGGTTCGAACCTAAGATAATATAATAAAGAGAATAGCAGATATGTTTATTTTTTTAATTTGTTCAATTTTTTTTTTTTTTTGTGTATGTGTGATACTAACTCCTTATAATATTTAGTGGCAACATTAGATCTGACTAATTTGAAAGATCATATGAATTAAAAGAATAAATCATTTAAATGACATATCAGATTATACCAAAAAATAATATAAAAAATTATCTCAAAATTATTTTCCTTATATATATTTGACCCGTTATAATTTACAATAGGGAGAAAGGAAATATTAATATAGTGTTATTATGATTGGAATCTTGATACAAATTAAAATATTAAATGCAACAAGCAATTAGTTTATAAGAGCTAATGTTTAAGACATATTTTGGTAATGTGTTATAACAAGAAATAATTTATCTTTCTTAAAAATTTTCATACTTATTGTAAAATTTAAACTTAAATTGGTCTTAATTATAGTATTATTTTTTATTTGAATGGCTAAAGTATTTTTGGGTCATATTTTATGCATGTTAAAATTAATTTATTTAAATAATATTAATATTAAATCTCTTACATCAACTTTATATATTTAAGAAAATTAATTTTCTTATGTTCTGCTCTCAAAATTTAGTTGTTCAAACATCTCGCTTGTTGTTTCTATTTCAAACATTGGACTTAAAATACATATTAAAATTAAGGAGTACTATATTTAAGATCTTGTCTAAAGAAAATTTTTACGTGTAAATCTTGTAAGAAAATTATTATCTAATTTTGGAAGAAAGTTTTAAAAGCAAAATTTGTGCGACGATAACATTATGAAATAAAGAATTACCAAAAAAAAAAAACTATTATGGGATAAATAAATGAACATATACTAATTGCCAATTATTTTTATTTTAAAAAAATGAAAAAAAAAATAACATATACTCTTTTTCAAAAAATACAATATTATGTATGCCTATTAGTTTAGGCTTAGCCCACCAAATGGGACAAGTGTGAACGTATTATTAAAAAAATCGAGACCCAGTGTGAAATGGACAGCTCTGGTTTGACGCTTTCTCCCTTTCTCTTTTCCAGTACGTGGATGACTGATGAATATCATTCGTACCATTCACACGTCTCTTTTTTGTTTTATCATTAACTTTTTTTTT